AGAGAGAGAGAGAGAGAGAGAGACAGACAGACAGACAGACAGAGAGAGAGACACACAGACACACACACACACACACACACACACACACACACAGAGACAAATCCCGGGATTATATTTTCTGCCCCAGTCCTGCATTCTCCACATGAGAATTTAGCAAACCCAATCTATGCATTAGAGGTATATATAAGTCTCTTTTAGTAACAGAATTAGTATTTAGCAAAAGGTAAATAAGCCATGAATACATACTAATATTATAAATTCAAAATTACAATTTTAGAATTATTTTCTTTGACTTTACACACTTGATTTTGTTTTCTTTTTCTTTTTGGTACCAGGGATTGAATTCAGAACCTTGCGCTTGTGAGGCAGGCAGCAGAACCACTGAGCTAAATCCCTGGCCCAACACTTGATTTTCTTATATCAAGATCTTAGTTCCTTATTGTCATTAACATAATTATCCACTTGTTCATATTATATGTATATGCATATGCATAGTTTTATTTCCAAAAACTATTGATATTATGCTAACAGTAGAGCTACCATAGACAATTGGAGGTTTGTGGTTCTTTATCCTTAGGATATAACCCCTTAGGAAAATATAATCAAGTTTAAAGAAATTTGAAATTTCTATGATTATACATTCATCTTGACATATTTTGCTTTTGCATATATACTCTTTCAAAAACAAAAATGTAAATGGATAAAGTTAGAAAAGATAATAAAAGGATCAGACTTTTTTTGATTGACTATAGACAGCAACTTTTAGGTAGCACTACTGTATTATAGCCTACTTCTCATTCTGGAAACAAAAACAAACAATTGATAGCTTGATGGGTGCACTTTGGAAAATAAACTAGAGAAAAAGTTAAAATCTATTTTGTAGGATAGGAAAAATACACTCAAGTAAATAGTGATTATTTCTAGCAATAGTGTTAGCTATCTATGGGTTAGTTATATAAGTGATTATGGGAATAGTTAAGGAAAAAGAAAATCTTAGGAAATTTCCTGCTCTTATATACAGGAATTACATATAGTTAGATATAATTTGTTTAACAGTTGTATTGAATTATAATTCACTTATTATACAAGTAACAATTCAGTGGGGCTTTCATTATATTCATAGAGCTATTTAATCACTACCACAACCAAACTTAGAACATTCTCATTATTCCCAAAATAAACACTGCACACTATTGCTGCACCCACCCCCTAACTCTCTGCTTCTTCCCAACCATAGACAACCACTACTGAATTTTCTTTCTCTGTAGATTTGCCCAGTCTAGAAATTTCATATAAATGGAATATCTACAATATGTGGTTCCTTTTGAATGGCTTTCTCCACTTAGCATAATGTTTTCAAGGATAATCCATATTGCAGTATGTATCAGTACTTCATTTCTTTTAATTGCTGAATAATATCTCATTGTATGGATATATTACATTTTATTTATTCACTAGTTGATGTACATTTGGGTTACTTCCACTTTTTGGGTATTATGAATACTATGAAATTACAATTTAAATACAATGAATACAACACTTTTGACTATTATGAATACCATAAAACTATACTTTAAATATAATGAATAGACAACACTTTTAAAATCACTTTCTTCCCTTACTTGTTAACCTTTGCCTAACAATACTATTCTATATCTCAACTTGGATACCTGTAAAAACAGATCTTTTTCAGATCTTCCATGTATCTCTTGCAAATGTCCTGCAGAGGATCTTTCCTAAGTGGACTAGTGTCCACTAAATTATCATTCCAGGAACCATTCCAAGGTTCCACACATTCTTCTATACATTTCAGAATTTCTTTATCATGAGGAGATGTGATCTGAGCACCAGTTTCCCAATAAACCTGGAGAACAGGTAAATATAGCTATAATTATTTGAAATGCTTATCAGATGTTTTCTTAGCTACAGTAAAGTGTTTTGGCTTTATGAAGCACATTAAGTTAATGGAGTAAAAAATTTCAACATGAGACTAATAAATACAAGAAGTTATTGATATAAATGATTCTATGGGGATTTATAACAAAATCACATATTATTTCTTTTTTTAGAACTTACTTTAATAATAATACAAGATAATATAAGCAAGCATTATTATAATATGCATATACCATAGTGTCTAATCATATTCTTAGATTTATAACTGTATACCAAAATAATGTAAGAAACTATAGGATATCCCATAAAACTTTACACTGTTAAACTCAACATTATAAAACTGTGCTGTTTTGTGGTAGAGGAAATTAATTATAAGATCCCAGACTACATGCACAGAACAGTTTCCAAAAGCCCTGCATGTGGATTTCTCAGGAGAACTCGAGTAGGCTTTCAATAGGGTGGCCTAGACATCAGTCTGAGGGGTGGGATCGCAGCACCTCCTCTCAGGAACCATATGTAGAAGTCCTGGTGCATTTCCTTGAGATTTAGACAGTATAAAAGGATTCAGATATCAAGAAGAGCTTGATACTGTATCATGATTGTCTGCCCTGCTTCCTCTAAGGTGTACTTTATCTTGCTTTTTCCTCTTTTACTTGGCTCAAGCTTACTCTGCAGAGCCAGTTTCCCCCTCACTCTTCAATTTTATTTATTTATTTTTTTATACAGGGTCTCACTATGTAGTTCAGACTGGCCTTAAACACACTGTGTAGCCAGGTTGGCCTCAAACTCCCGTGATCCTCCTGTTTTAGCTTCCAAGTGCTGGGATTACAGGTGTGTGCCACAACTCCCAGCAACTTTTACTTTTTCAAATAAACTTTGCCACTGCTCTTTGCTCATTTTGTTCAATTCTTTGTTCAAGATGAGAAGAACCTGGAATCTAACTCCAGAAGGAGAGGCAAGCAACCCAAAACCCAGTGATGTTTATTTGGTAACCCACTTTTAAAAGGAGCTACCCTAAAGAACAAACAAACAAACAAACAAACAAATAAAAGGAGCTATCCAATAACACTTTCAGAGTTACTTTTCACCCTTCTCTACTCTGCTTCTTGCCATAGAGCCTGATACAACAAATGGTTCCTTTGGTCAATGGAGAATCAAGGCAGAAGGTCAGAGAAAGGAGGAAAAAGAAGGGAAAAATGAGATGAAGGTATTTCTCTGACTTTCTTCCTACACACTCTCATGCATTCTTCACATTCTTGGTACAATTTCTGAAACAGCAGAACAAATTTTGCATGTGATGGAGAAGTCAAGGGCAGTTATAAGTAAAAAGACCAATGAAGACATCTTTGTAATAGTACATAATGAAAAGTGGTAAGGGCTATTAGGAATATAAATTCTACGAGGGCCAGCCTCAGTGATTTTTATCTTTCAATTCCCAATGTTTAGCTTGTAGCATATATTACTGAAATAAAATAAGAACTATAAAATAAGCAAAGGTCAGGAGTGCAGCATACCTTGTATCCATTGTCTTCCTTAGGGTTGTGAGATGCAGTAATCATCACACCTGCAACTGCTTTGAGCTCTTGGACTGCATATGGCTGAAAAAATTGTAACATAATAATTCCACTTTGTTTCATGTATCTGAGATGAAAATAACTTTGACTACATAACAGAAAAAGACATGACACAAGTCACCTACAGTCTCAAAGGCTCCGGGTTTGTGGGTAGGGTCCTTTCTAAATATGGGGTTCAAAAATCATCCAATTATTAGACCAAATGGTTTTCCCCTCAGTTTCCTTTAACTTAGTCTCTCTTTTTTTGGGGGTGGGGGTACGGGGATTGAATACAGGACCTTGCTCTTGCAAGGCAGGTGCGGTGCCACTGAGCTAAATCCCCAGTCCTTAGTCTTATAAATATTTGTTATTATTTTCTTCATTTCACAATATTTAATGAATACCTACTATGTTCCAGTGTTATGGTTTGTGTCTAGATGTCCCCTCAAACCCTCAAGTGGTCAGAGGTAGGGTTTTTCAGAGGTGACTGGATCTAGAGTGTGTGATGCTGAGATTATGTGTTTGAAACTGGAATCAAGGGAGTGTGATGACTAAATTAGCCCACTGACTGGTTTGGCACAGTCCTGGGAAGGATTAAGGGTGTCCCACACTGGGAATAAGCGCTACCTGCCCTAAGGGCGGGTACCCTGGATGGAATATAAGGTACAGATAAAAGGTTGTTGCTTGCTGCTTGATTTCTGCCTACCCTGCTTTGCCACTGGCTGTTTATCCTTGGTGATGCCCCTTTGCCATGCCACTCTGCCTTGGTGCCAGCCAACTATGGACTGAAACCACTATGAACTATTAATCAAATAAACTTTTCTTCCTTTAACTTTGGGTGTTGGGTATTTTGGCTCAGCAACCAGAAAAGTAACTAAGACAGCCAGCCACCCCACCAAACCATAGAGATATGAGTGGCAAATATCACCATAAAATACTTAAGTTAGAAGTAAATTCAGAAATCATTTCATCTACTGCATTTTACACTGAGGTTAATCCCACATTATATAATCACTAGGTAGAGAATTCACAGGTAGAACACAGGTCTCTTGCTTTCCAATTTGAACTTTTTTTGTTTGTTTTTTGAGACAGTGTCTCACTATGTAGTTGAGGCTGACCTAGAACTCACTATGTAGCCCAGGCTGGTCTCAAACTCACAGTGATTCCCCTGCCTCAGCCTCCCAAGTGCTGGGATTATAGGTGTGTGCCACCACGCGTGGCTAATCTGAATATTTTTTATACATACTCTGTGTGGCCTCTCTCATGTAAGGGTTGACTATCTTCTCTCTCATATTTAATTTTCAGGTGGAATTTCCATTTTTCTCTGTAGCAATTATTATTTGTGTCCTTAGGATGTTTCTCTTCCAACTTCTACCATTACATCTAATTTCTCTCCTGACAATGGTGAGGAGGGGCGTGAACATGAGCCAGATCTTACTGCAGTAACCCATTCCCTTGAACTGTTTCAGAAACCAAGGCTGATCAGAGTCCTTCCAACCAAGATACAACGTGAAGTGATAATGATAAAGGGGTGTGAATCTGGGATAACTAAAAATATCTTCCCTACCAGTTAAGAGTAAATCTACCTACATGAGAGAAAAGTCAACACAATGGGAATGATGATAGCTGGAACTGGCAATTCAATGGCAGAATCTTACAGAAATAGTCTAGACTTCTAGATCTCTCCTTGGTTTCTATTACGCAGTGGAGCTAATTTTTGGGGAATTCCTTCAATATATCTCCAATAAATCACTAGAATAGCTTAAAGAGACATTATCTATTTCTCAAATATTTGCTTATAAAATCACCTAGACTTTAAATTTGGGAATATGTTTTTAAAAAATTCTAATTCAGTTTATTTAATGATAGGTCCATTCAGATTTATAAAACATCAGTTTTGATGCATCAAGTGCTCTTCTAGGCAACTGACAAATTCACTTAAATTTGTACATTTATTTGCACTCTATTGTTTAAAATATCATGCTTTTCAAAACCTTTATTTATTATGTCCTCTGTTTAAATTTTAATTTGTTCCTTCTTTGTTTCTTGACTACCTTTTCCAGGACTGTTTATTTTCTTAAGTTTCTTCAGACATTTGTTTTTGTTATCTTCTTTATTTTCTGTTTACTTGATTTTTTTTCTCATTCTTTTATATTTTATTACTTTTACTTAATTTAGATTATATCTGTTTTAGTATTAATGTGTTAAGTTAAAACTTAACTCAATGTTTTCTAATCTTTTTCTCTAATATAGTCACTAATGCCATAAACATCCCTTTAAGTTTGGCTTGGTTCTATCCCATGATATTTGCCACATAGTGTTTTCATATTGTTCAGTTTTAAATGCAAGCAGTCCTGGCATTACACAGTTCCAATATACAAAGATTTCTATTGCTGCATTTTAGTCAAATGACATGAGTCTCTTAACAAATATTTCTGTTATCATGGTAACATTAACCACGAATAACTGTATCAAGTACAAATGTGGTTGCTAGCTCTTCAGTCCACAAGTCATAGCACTGGGGATTTAGCTCAGTGGTTCTGCTGCCTGCCTTGCAAGCACAAGGACCTAAGTTCGATCCCTGGTACCAAAAAAAAAAAGAAGGTTAACAGCAATAAAATGTTTACAAAAACCAACCCCCCAAAAAAAAGGCCGGGAGTGGTGGCATATGCCTGTAATCCCAGGACTCAGGAGGCTGAGGCAGGAGGCTTGCTGTGAGTTTGAGACCAGCCTGGCCTACATAGTGAGTTCCAGTTCAGTCTCAACTACATAGTGAGACCCTGTCTCAAAAACAAACAAACAAACAAACAAGTCATTACATGTATAATAGATCTATTATGGTGAGTGACCCACTGTGTGACTCTTTTAAGTCTGTCAGTGATTGGTCACGGTGTATTATGAATCAGCTCTCACACAGACATGTGGCTGTGCTGTCTTCTTATCTTCCAGTGATAAACTCATGTGACATTTCAGAAAAATGGATAATTAAAAGAATTGGCTAACAAAGATCAAAATGCAGCAAAGAAACGAAAGTGACAATGGTGAAAGGAAAATTGAAAATAAATGAGTTATAGAAAAGACATTTTGGAATGCTGATACTGTCACCATTCAAGAGACTTTAGATATTCAACTAAAGGAACATAATGAAGAAAAACACATGGATGAAATGAGGAACGGGGTTGTGATGGAAAGGATGAAAAAGTCCAAGAGGAAGTGATATCAGAAAAACACAACATTAAAGGGTCTCTCAGAGATATTTTAGTATATTGACAGGAACAAAGGTTAAAATATTGGAAGCTGATTCAAACTTACAAAGGTATATAACAATCTGCAAAGGCATAGTAAAAATGCTCTCATATTGAAAATTACAAGACAAGAAGAAAATACTTCATATTCTTGGTTACTTTTTTTTTTTTAACAAAAAAAGAATTTTAGTACTCTATGTTTTTAATTGTAATGTACTATTTCTTACCATTTTTCTTTTTCCCTACATATTTTTAACCAAGAGTAAGATAGTTTTTAATGCTTTGTCAAGATATTTTAAAGATTATGGAATATCTGTAATTTTTCTCATTGGTTATGAAAGTCACTTCACATGGATCTTTACCTTCACAGCTGTCTTTACAGTCCTCTACCATTCAAAGTAAGGACTACCTGTAGTTTCTCATCTTCAATTATATCTTCTTTAATCTACAGATTTCTTATGAATGTTTCTTAAGATTCTAAGCATAGGGGGTTTTGCAGGCTTTTCAATTTATAGTTTTATTGCATTGGAGTCTAAGAATACAGCTTGATAAACAGTTCTCTAGAATTTGCTGAGACTTCCTTTGTGACTTTGCTTAATAACATGTATTTTATCATCACAGAATACAGGGTCTTTACACACACTCAACAGAACAAACCTGTTAACAGTGTGTTCAAGTGTATCTGTAAACATTTTTATCTGCCTTATCAATTTCTGAAAGAATATTAAAATATCCCACACCATGACTGTGGGCTTATCAGCTTTTCGAGATCAAGTTCTCAGGTGATTCAAGAAATGAAAATAAACTCAAAGCAAAATTCATTTTCCTTCCTTTGGTTCCTCATATCACTTAATACAAAACCACATGTGTAACAAGGATTTATAGTTAAGAAATTTCATCAAGAGCAACAAACTGAACAGTCATAACACACTTACTACAAAAGGTGTAGGAACATATCTTGAAAAAAGGTACACAGGAACATCTTTAGCCAGCAACACGGCAGCTGTGAGTTTAGCAAGCCTAAAAAAAAGGAAAAAAGTTTTAAAAGATTATCCTTAGTCCTTAGCTTACCATCATGCTTTAAAAAAGAACTTTCCA